CAATTTTAGCTACTAATACTTTGTTCCTGTAAAAAAAATTGCCAGAAAATATAGCATTTTCTTTATTTTTATAGCCACTATCTTAGGTTTAACTGGAACCGTATTTCCTAATTGTCCCCTAATTATTTGTTTATTCATTGAAGTACCTACTTCATATTATGAAGTAGTAAGAAGTCCAAAAAATAGTTGGCCTATTTGTCAATGAACGTTAATTTCAACGAACTAAAAAATCCATGTACAAAAAAAATAATTGATCATACATTTCATAAATTCCTAAAATCAAGGAAATAATCATTAAAATAGAACTGAGGTATGTTAAAATTTATGTTTCTGAAGTAGCACAAAGTGTCTACACGTTAATGTTTCATGTATTGAGTTTAATCTACATCGCAAATAAAATATTTTTTTATAATACTTAATATAATAAATACAATTCAACAATGCAGTTTTTACTACTTAAACTATACAATGATGTTTTTGTGTTGTCGCAATCTATGTTTATAAAAAAAGTTCTAAAACTTTGTAGATTGGAAATGTTTTATCTTTAAAGGTGACGGAGAAAGTCTTAAGAGAAAGTAGTGTTATTCGTTCCATTCATTGTCGGCGAGGATCAAAGTCAACTGAGTCTCGGGAGTATAAAGGCAGTCTCTACCCTTTCCATTAGCCCCCCCCCCCCATGACGCAACCCTCCCCCCCCAGCTGTCATGTATCAAAAATTAGACCCGGGCAGTTGGACGTGGCTTTCATCAATACGGTGTGGGAATTGATTTGTAGCCTCTTTTTAAATTACTGCCTCATGTAGGCCTACGACGGGTGATCGCAGCAAGATTTACTGAGCAGGTTGTTAATTTGTTGGTGTGTTGTACGAGGAACGAATAATATAAAAAATGTTAAGCAATGTGACTAGACTATTTTTGGGACAAATGTATTAATGGATAACAACATTAGGTTTTAATAGAGCCAAAGAAGAAATCTTACAGATGAAAAAGACACCCCTTAAAACCCCCGTGGTATGGTAACTTATAAAATATTACTCCGCTAGATACCAAAGCCGGTAGGGATCGATAGAGCCAGAGCCGTTTTCACGTACATGTTTCCAAGACGTACAAACTTGTTAGATTGGCTTAGATTTCTATTTCTAGAAGTCGGTTTCGGATTCTATGAGGTATACAGCGTTTTATTTAGATACATCTGAAAAAATACGATAAGTGAGTCAATGACACTCGATAAGTGGGTTTAACAAACATAGTTGTAATTTTGTTGAAACCCAGAATTGCAATGTAATAAATAAATGTAATGAAATAATCCCAACCTAACACGGTGAATAAAAAGGCAGGTAAAGATCTTCGGACGAAGGACCTATGACCACAGACAATATAATGTCTGTGCTATGACGATCATACTGAATAAGCATGCACAATAACGTAAAGAATATGCCTACCGCGAGTACCAAAGAAATTAATTAAATTCAACTGTCGTCCTTTATGATGCTACAATTCAGGTCGTTGGTTTAGGGTCATCTTTGTCGTGTTCACATTTAGATTATAGTAGACTAATAATATGTTTGAAACCTTATTGTAGTATACTGTAGTCCTAACTTAATTTTAACCCACAAAGATGATCAGTTTCAACAAAAGTTTCTGTTATTACTATTCGTTAGACGGTAATTAAAAATATGATTTTTACTTAAGGTAATGAAATGAAAATGGTAAATAACAAATGATTGTATTGCTGTAAATTAGTTTAAGGCTTTAGAAAGTATTTAGGGGGTCAGAAGGGGTACGGAGAGGGCAAAGAGAAGATTCTCCTCATAACACCATTTAACCGAAACTCCAGGCAAGTGCTGGCTCTACCATTGATATATCCAACTTCTTTCTTTGTTCTGGGTTTATGTAAATGCACTTGTGGCAACTGTTTAAATGTTTCTTTTCTTCAACGTTATTATAGTCAGATTGTACTAAGTTAGTAAAGTCTCCAAGTTTGTATAGGGTATCTTCGTTCCAATGATTCCCTGAGTTATTACAATGGTGTGTGTAATCAGTGTTTAATATCTTACATATATTATTAGGCAAGCACGTTCCTTTACACCCTTTTACTCTCAGCTCGTGTGCATCGTAGGGAAAATCTACGCATACTGTTATAAAGATATTTTCCTGTACGTGTAGAGAATATCTTTATAAGTTAAAATAGTCTAAAAAATAAGCACAAAAATGAATTCGAAATTTTAAAGAGTAACATGGGTCTTATGGGTTGCCATGCTGGTGACGAAATAGCAACGAAATATAAACATAAAACAAAACCAATGTAAGAAATTCCAATCACATGTTTTATTTACAGCTTGGGGTGAAAATAGAGAAGCTTCCACCTTTGACTTACAACTAGAAATTCCATCCCCATGTTAAAGTTGTCCCCAGTTTTTAAATTAAATTTGTCGTAGTTGATGTGAGCCACCAACAGATGCGCTGATCTAAATGACTAATTTCTGTCTAATCTTTTACCAAGTAAACTTTTGGAATGGATTATTATGAGCTATAGCAGCAGCTGTTATGACCCATCAACTTTGTCAGCAACAAAAAAATAAGGTAGAAATTAGAATTTTAAAATAAGGTAGAAATTAGAATTTTAGACACGCATTCTGTATAGCTCACACAATTACAATGTTTTATAATAAAAAATGACGACAGCTGGTCCATATAGATGGGATGTCTACTTCAGTATCCAATAGTCAATGTGTGTACATTACATATTTTTGGTCGAGTTTTTGACCACTGGACGACCACTAGTTTAGTATAAAACCGCAATTATGTACAGTAGTAGCATTGACTTTATTTAGTAGTTTGTTATTATTTAGTTGGCTGGTACACCGATGTATTGGTACTTCTAACAAATTTACAGTATCTAACGTTTTGGTAAAATTTAAAAAATACAAAAAAAATGAATAAACATTGTGCCTTACTTTTGAGCTTGACTTTTGGATAATCACAACCAATATCCCAACATTAATTGTATTGTAAATTAGTTTAGCTACACTATTTGTGTTTTTGTTTTCGAAAAAAAAAAAGATTATGTGTTAAAATCTGGAAAACATATCAATGTGTTTAAAAAAAGTTTTAAGTCAGTTTTGAGACTCGAATTAAATATATTCGATTTTTAAAAGTTTTCTTTGCACAGATGAATTTTTATGTACTTTATAAATTTATTTGTTCCGTAACTAAAATTAGCCTACTCGTTCATTACTAATCGTACAAATGAATGATCAAAACAGCGCATGATGCAAACGTTATACTGTGTAAACAGATTGAATAGAGTATGTTTTTACATAAATAAATTCCAAGCACTTTAGTTTCTTTAGTGTGAGTACATTTTATACTCTCGTTATTTATGCAATAGACATTGCTCTCGCTACATTAACTTGCTGACAAACAAAGTATATTGGCTGTGACATGTGTAATGCAATTAAAATGCCTCACTAAATACATTTATTTACCATGTTTAGTTTTTTTTTATGTGTCGAGAACGACTACACTATACTCGTACTTATTAGATCAGTTTAAAGCCTTTCAACCGAACCTACAGTGTATTGAGTATAAATCAATACTAATTATTTTAAACTGATTAAAATACTATGTCGTACAAGGCTACTCAGAGCCAGTAGGCTTCTAGGAGGGGACATGATGGTAATCCTCCTAGATAGGCTGGAATTCGCATTTTAGCAGCTCTCACACATGGGTTTCTATTTTGACCCTGGTTATAAATAGCTGCAGTTTATTGTGTCGGCTCTCCGACCACGCTTATTTCATTTCGAGTCTGCCTCTCAATTTTAGAGCTAAACATTGACTCCTAAATGTTGGAGGGATGTATTCATGTAGAATAAATATTAATGATCTAATTTACCGGTTTAATAAGAGTACAAGTATACATGTGCAAAGTGCACATTTTTATTTACCCTTACAAAAAGTGGTCGTTTAAGAAAACCAATAAATTAGATAATTTTTTTGTTATATTTTTCTTTTACTAAATAGAAGGTAGCCGGTTTGGTCCTGAGAAGTCAGTAGTTTTATAGCTGCATTCAGAATCAAGGTGAGATTGATCATTAGGCTTTAAATGGGTCTGGCTGAAGAAAACGTTTGTTTAATCAAAAACAAAAGGTACACAAGACGTTCTTTCTTTACTCTTCAACTACTTGTTTCAAATTACAATAGTTATTTTATAAAATGTCTAAATGAAATGTGTATTGAAGAATGAAAGTATTTTCCTTACTTTTACAGTAGTTAAAGTATACAGTTAAGTAAGTGTAAATAAAGCTTTAGAATGAATGCAGTATTTAGATGTATTTAAATCAATAGTTTTTTGTCAAAACATCAAAGTCATTCTCCTCTACCACTCGTTTAAGATAAAAATAGACAACATTGTATAAGATGCCTAAATAAATAGAGTAATTAAGAATGGAATTATTTACCTTATTTGTACAATAGTTAATGAAAACGGTCACAGTAAGAACAGTAAGTAATTGTAAATAAATCTTCAGAATTAAGGGTGTATTTGAAATCAATTGTGTATTTCAACATAGCATAGTTCATTTAACTATCAAAACTTAACCTAGTGCATGTTAAACGAAACCAACAACAACTATGCCACTTTGCAAAACAGTTAGCCATCTATGATTGCAATTTTTGACAAAGTTAGACTCATTCTTGATTGCTAGATTAGCAATTCATCCACCTGTGGACTGTAACCCTAACAATATCCAAGGGGCAATTTAATTGACGACCCCTGCTGTGGGGGATCCTCCCTTTTCTCCCTTTCTCCCCTCCCGCCCTTGGATTTCTCCCTCACCCTTTCAACTTCCGCAACCCTCTCATTCATTCATCAAGCCCAAATTGCTCTATTTTCTCGTCCCTAATGTTTTTTATGCAATTTATCAGAGTCTCTTTGTTACTGAATATAAATGAGCGGTATATTTTTCACTGTTTAGTTTAACACAGTGTTTTTTGTTTCAGGAACTTCTCGTGTCATCAGATTGGCTCATCTAATGTTTTTGTAAGTATTATTATATTTTGGTTTAGTGTTAATAGGGCTCCGCCCGCCGGCTGTTTGCCACGTTAACACGGTCCTACAAAAAAGAACCTCGTGGTATTATTAAAGTGATTATCGAGATGAAATAAACTTAATATTCACAAAGATCCAAACTATGCACTGGCTGAACTGAAACTTCGTAATTGTTTCTTTAAGTATTTATAAAATCATTTTGCGCAAATTAGTCTTTTTACTTGCGATTTTAACTTCTAAAAATAGTTAAAAATTATTTTTGCTGCTTTCCACTGCAAGCTATGATATGTGAGCACAACAAGCACACAATCATTGGAAACAAATTAGTTTTAGAATGTCGAGAGCTTGTACCGTAGAGGCATGTTCAGGAACATTAGCATGTTTAGCCGCCATCTTGAATTTGCCGTTTAGAACCCTCTTAAGTAAATAATTTCATGTCGAAAGCTGGGCTAAGTGTGACGTATACTTTTATACTTTTACAATCACATGATTTATAACTTAAAAAATTAATATGGCGTTACTTACTCGTTTAATACGAGTTGCGGAAAATTTAGTAGTTTGAGTTCAGCACTAAGTGTCCAAAAAGATTATTAAAAAATCAAGACTTACAATTTTTTGTTAAAACAATTTAAAATATTTGTTTTAAATATCTGATAGTTTGTGAGAAATTAATGGTTTTATCCTGGACTCGGTTATTTTGTTGTTTACCTATAATCTAATATAGCCGATATAAAAAATGTTTACATACACATAATTGCACTTTTAGATTATAATTGGAGGGACGTCCCCTCGTAATAATCCTGTGGTGTGAAGCATTTTGTTGGTTCGCAACTTGTGAATTCTCTTTAAATTATTGGTCTAATTTAAAGAAACAAGTATCGTAGTCAGTAACAAAGCTACAAGGATCATCTCAGTCCTCAGCCTTTATTCATCTTAGCTTTAGATATGTGTTCAAAAGTTCTATGCTGTCTCAATAAATTGATAAGACTCAGTATCTTACAACTATTTTGACGATTTCTGCACTTCTCATAAAATTTTAGAAACATAAAAAACAATTTTCGAAGTATCAAAGTAATAGAGGAAAATATATAAATCTCTAGGTGATGTTTGGAGCACATTTCACATCGCAGTAGTCGTAGTTGTGGCAGGATAATGTATTGGCCAGCGTCATTGCTTCCATCTGTTTGCTCTGACCCAATTTTCCGGTGTGAAATAGTTCTGGGTAATGTGCAATATAATTTCTAACAGCTGTAAAATATTGGGAACCATTAACACCATTTTGCCCTTACAGCTGAATCGTTGTGCAGTGTTTATAATTTATCTGGATAGAAAATACTTTAGTGACCTTTGAGTATTCTGTGATAGAGATAGCAAATAACTTTCAGTGTAAAACGTAAAACTTGAAAAACTTTAGTATTAGTAAATATTGTTACGATTTGTTTTAAATTTTTAATTCATTCTAATAGACCAATAACTATGGACTAAATCTCTACATACATCAGTCAAAATACAGTACCGTATCTAATACGACAATTTAGACACCGAATTAAATATAGTACAGTTATAGCAGTATATAGCAGTATAAATGCAGTATTAAATATAGCAGTATCTACATAAAACATATGAAATTTTGAGCAAAAAAAAATTAAACTAGTTTTTTTTATTAAGGAAGAGTTTTCCTGGAAAGTCTGAAATTACGAAAGGTGCTTTGTATTAAATTAATTCACTAAATTCACAAACACTAATTTGTGGTTTCATAAACTCAATGTTTCGAAACATATACCTCAGAGCATAGGACTAAAAAATAGACAACCGATGAAAATCAAGTAGTTGTGATTTGTTATCGTAAGAACCATAGAAATAAGATAAATATTCTGGCCACATCCCAACTGTTCAAATGTATCACAATATATTTTCGGTGGTATTGTATATAAAAATGGTGAATACAACTAATTTGAGATTAAGCTTTTTGTCCTATTGTATTACTCACAGATGCGTATACACGACGAACGTGTATCCCTACTTTATAGGAGATAAAATTATTTGAAATTAAGTCGAATTCAACAATAGTTCTGTACATGACATATTGTTCCCCTCTTCAACATACCAGGTATTCCAGCAACAGCGTTCCTAAAATGTGTAAAGGTCGATAGTGTTTTTTGTTCGCCTTTCTATAAATTTTGAAACAGTATCACGAATGGCAACTACAACAGCACGAATTTAAAACTAGATTGAAAAATTGTTTGTTCTAAACTTGTGAACCTAACTATGCAATTGATTTACTTAAAGATGTTAAATTTAGAGGGTTAGAGTTATAAGTAGAACGACTGGGGTAAGGGTTGGTGTGATGGGTGGGGGGGGGGGGCTATAACCTAGTTACACCATGCAGCTTTTGCCGACTCCTTGCTGCATTAATAAACTTTAACTTCATAACTATGTTTTTAAACTTCTTGTGAATAGACTCACCTTTTACTGCTGTTTCAGTTTTGTTAGCAGACAAAATTTATGTTTGACACGTTAAATTACGATGTTAGACATTATTTTACCCTGAAACAGTGATTTTTACCATTATAAAAAACCGTATCAATTGCATGTGTTGTTTTATTTCTCTTGATAAAATATGTGTATTTCTGTTTAAAAGCATACGTTAAAACTTGGTATTACTTTATTTGTTGGGTGTTTCTCTGTTTGGTCGTTTCGGACACAATTCTGTTTTGGACTTGTCTTATTCCCTAAGAAAATTTTATTCCAATTTTAAAGCATTAGGTATATCCGTATTTATTTTGACACGATATGTTTCGATGTTTAAAATTATAATTTCAAAACAGTGATTTTTTCGTAAAGAAAGTTGTTAATTACATACGTTGTAAATTTTTGCGCTATTCGTAATGAGTTTCGTTCGACTTTGCCTGGTTTAAATTGTGTAAAATCTTGCCTTCATAAAAAGTCTTACTTTAAAGTTAAATAACTAAGAATTCAAAAGTTTCCGACACTATTCTGTTTTGGAGTTTTCTTATCCTCTAAAACAGTTTTAGAAGATAAGAAGACTGGATTTATAAACCCATATTTAAAACTCGGATTCATTCTTGTTATCATACCCTCTAATCTAAACCCACTCAGGAGCAAGTAATTACTTCACAAGTCAGCCAAGACTAAGTTGTGCTTTATTATATGGCAAAACTAATATATGATTATGACAGGTGTATTAAATTGAATTTTTAATGGAGAAACTTATGTAGTGACCAGACTCACCCCTACATCTCACATGATTTTTTTTTAAATTTAGATTGTGAAATAAAAATTTTCATATAAATGTTGTATTAAGTTAAACATAGTGACGTCAGCCATGCTGCAACTCCGACGTTGACGCTCGAAAACACATGGGAAACTACCATTTTAAGTGTAATTAAAATCGTTCTGCATTATAACTGCTTCGTAATAATTTACACGGTAAATGCGATAGCTCACTTGCAAACAGTATATTTCCGTTGCAACGCAATTTAGGTCCCTGAGAGTGAATATTCCCGTATAATTTTCTCTGACTTGCACACCCTCCCCCTTCACATTTCTCTCAACCCCTCTTTTCTTCGTTTCCACAACTTCGCACTTGTTCTAATTATTATATGACGTTGAGTCTCTTTGCCTCATTAGATCTAATTATCACAGCCTTGCATTGTACTGTAAACCATACAACTTTGTAAGACATTAAGTTTTAAATTGTTAATTGACAAACCCGTTAGATGTTAATTTGTTCAAGCACTAAAATAGATACTGTACTCAAAAGTTGGCTTTTATGTTGTGTAACGCAGTACGGTATTCCATTATTGTATTGATTAATATAGGGTCATTTTACTGTAAAATAATTCTGTTAGTAGAAACGATTTACGCCAGTTTTGATTTCAATGTCCAATTAAAATGTATCTGACCAACCTTATTCGGTTTTAGCTTGTATTAATTTCGAGGTAAAGGTAAATTATAACATTAGTTCACTTGTAAACAATATTTCCGTTTGTAACACCATTTAAATCCCAGAGAGTGAATTATCCTCAATTCTCTCTATACACCCTCGTTTACATTTCTCCTAACCCCTCACCAACCCCCCACAACATCTGGCTTGTTCTAATTATTATATGACGTCGAGTTTCTTTACCAGATATAATTTCCACACAACCCAGTGTTTATGATTTAAACCTCTGTTAGGAATTAAGTTGGATAAAAATGTTGATTTACAAAACGATAATGGCACAGCAGTGTATTCCCATAAAATTATCTAGGTATACAAAATCACGTGTATTTTACGTAAAGACAGTATGTTTGTTACATGTCGAATTGACCAATAACACAGGGCACACCTATTTACGTAAGATAAACCCATGGTACGGTGCAACATAATAAACAAAGGTTCGCAACAATGAATACTTCCAAATGAGATCGATTCAGCTAATTTCATTAGCAAAATTCAAACCAAGCTTTTACAGTTTAAGATTAAATTTTACGGTTAATTTTTAATGACTTTGAGATACAATGGTAGGCATACTGTCTGTATGCCAGTTGTAGCAATTTCTTTCAAAATTGTTATGTATTCCATTTTAGTTTTTGACACTATGATGTTGATGTGACATAAAATATGTTATAGTTTTAGATACCTTTTTATTCTAGCTTGGTTATGACATTGGTGTAAACAATATAGATCAGTTATTAAAAACCGTACACTCTGTCTGTGGCTCTATTACACTAATTTGGATTGGAATGTATAAGGCATAGTCAAAGGTATTTAAATGCAATTTAGTAGTTGTAAATGAACGATAATGTTAAGCTGTAGCGATGATTAGTGAACACATTTAACTGGGAGAAACTTATAACACGAAACGCAAGGAAGCAAGTTGGAATCAGCTGGAGATGAGATCTTGGTTTAACGACATGGGGGAGGTAGAGAGAGAGAGAGTGAGTGAGTGAGGCTGCGTTTACATTGGAAGCACGCTTGGGCAAGT